CTGAGCCACCCAGGCGCCCTGCACCTTTTTTTTTATTTTAAAGATTTTATTTATTTATTTGAGAGAAAGAATAAGATAGAGAGCATGAGAGGGGAGAGGGTCAGAGGGAGAAGCAGACTCCCCGCCGAGCAGGGAGCCCAATGTGGGACTCGATCCCGGGGCTCCAGGATCATGACCTGAGCCGAAGGCAGTCGCCTAACCAACTGAGCCACCCAGGCACCCCCTCACCTATATTCCAAAACTGCATCAATGGTAAAAATGTAGCTCATCTCTCCTGCCCCAGACCAGGGCTCAGCGCACCACCCAGCACTGCTCAGTCCCCTCCCTGCCTCCTGTCCGCAGCTGGCCCCCACCCCACCCAGCCCACCCAGATCCCTGCCCTGGGGGCTGCTGCTCACCTTGGCCCCGCGTCCTACACCCCCGTAGCGGGTCAGCGCAATGGTGCCTTCCAGTTTGATGCCCTGAGTCTGTAGATTCGTAAAGTCTTCTTCCGTTCCCCGGTTGGCATAGACGAGGAGGCCCTGGTCCCAAGAGGAGGTGATCCTCAGAGCCAGGCCCAGAAAAGGGGGTGAGGAAAGGAGAGCAAGGCTGCGTAGCAGGGTGATGGAGTTGGATTCAATATTCCCACCTCACCCAGAGCTTGTAAGCTTCCCCAGGAACAGAGTCATCCCTGGTTTCCTCTGTGTCCAGGACCCTGAAGCAGGCCTGGTCTTGAGTAGGGGCCATTAGTGTTTGCAGAATGACTAGGTGATGGGCGAAAGGAGGAGCAATGGAGTATGGGGGGAGGGCCCCTGGGCCAGGAAGGGAGAAGCTGGGGTGGAGCCGGAGGGAACTGGGCTGTGGCGGCGGGGTGGCAGGGAGGGGACGTTCCAGGCCCACCTGGGGGGTCCCTGGGGGAGTGTAGGCAGCATATGGTGGTACCACGTCAGGCCCCGCCTGTTCCCCAGTCAGGTTCTGTTCACTCTGGCGGCAGGAAAAGAGGACCCTCCCAGTGGGACTCACTGTGGAGGGGAGGAGGTGTCAGGGCTGGGCCTGGCAGCTCCCCACCACAGGCATCCCCCAACCTGAGCAGCGCCTCACCAACGGTCACGAGGTTGGGCTGCTCCTGGCTGGGGAAGGACAGCAACACTTCATAGGCGGGGGCCTCAGCCGAGTCCAGGCCTGACTCCGGGTCCTGCCAGTGCTGCAGCAGGAGCTGCACGAGGGCCTCATCTCGGGGGCTAGAGGCCAGGTGAGGCTCCCTGGAGAGTTCTCTGTAGGGTGGGCGGACAGATGGCCAGGCGCAGGGTTAGGGAGGTGTCTCTGGCAAACAGGAGGGGAGGGTAGACGGCCCTCTCACCTGAGGTTCTCCCGGATCCTGTTGGCATCCAGATGTTGCATGACGGTCTCAAGGATCTCCAGATCCAGGTCCTGGGAGATGCTGGGGGCTGGGACATCGGCTTCTTTGGGGATGGCAAAGTGGCCCAGGATGATCCCCAGCCCCAAGAGGGCAGCGGCCCCTACCACCCCCCCAAGCACCTTCACCCACTGCATCCTGTGGAGTCTTGGCAAGCTGGGGTCACTCCTTATAGATGATGTCGGGTCTAGTTAACCATTACCCTGTGGGTGGCCCTGCCCTTTGGCCCCCAGCTGGCAAGGAGAGTCAGGGAGCATCCTGCAGGAAGGGCCAGGAGCATTCACAGCCACCTTGATTTCTGCATCAGTCACCTGGAAGGGATCCCCAGGGGTATCAAGTCCACAGAGGCACACTGAGGCCCAGACAGGGACAAGGTCTCAGCCAGATCTCCCAGTAAAACAGAGGCTAAGGCCGAATGGGAACTCAGAGCCCCTGTTAGAGCAAGACTAGGCCAACTCCCTGCCAACCCCACCTCTGTCTCTTCAGTGTCATTTGTAATACATTTTTTAAAGATTTTATTTACTTGAGAGAGAGAGGATGAGCAGGGAGAGAGGGGGAGGGAGAAGCAGACTCCCTGCTGAGCAGGGAGCTCCTTGCGGGGCTCGATTTCAGGGCCCCTGGACCATGACCGGAGCCAAAGGCAGACCCTTAATCCACTGAGCCACCCAGGCACCCCTCCTCAGTGTCATTTGATTTCCAGCCCTGGCTGCTGGAGCAGGTTTTGAGTTCAAATGCCATCCTTGCTAGACATAGGCTGTGTGACCTTGGGTGATTCACTTAGCCTCTCTGAACCTGTTTTCTCAGCTGTAAAATGGGGATAATAGACCTATTTCACAGAATTGATGCTGTTTCCATTAAAGAAGTCCATATCTATAGAAATATGTAACCAGTGTCTGGCACATAGTGGGAGCTCAGTAAATTTTAGCCACTCCTGCCTCATCTGGATCTCTAAAATGCAAAGCCTGGGGTTAAAGGAAGAAAGGGGATCCAGAAGAATTCTCTGTATGTATCCTGCAGGGGACCCAGCTTATGGGAGGACATGGAACTCTTAGAGAGGGAGGCCGTTCTAGAGGTCAGAGTCAGGGAAGCCCATTCTTCCTTGGCAAGGTGACTTCCTCCTTTCCCTGACCCTATCTGGAATCCATTCATCTGTTCATTCATCCATCTACCTATTTATCCACCCACCCTCCTATCCACCCAACCACCTACTCTTCCAACCATCCATTCATTGATCTATCAACTCATCTATTCATCCATCTATCCACCCAGCTATCTACCCACCCTCCCATCCATCCATTCGTTTATTCACTCCTTCACTAATACCTGCAAGCTTCATTCATTCATTTGGCTCTGTGTTAAGACCCATGCTAGGCCCTGAGGAGGAAAAGGTACCCAGATCCAAGTCCTGGGAGACCCAGGGATTCAAGTCTAGCAGGGAGACAGGCGGCTTTGGGCTCAACCATGTGATAAGTGCCCCTATAAAGGGAGGACCAGTGTGTTTCCAGTGGGGAGGATGAGGAATTCTGTCTAAAAGAGAACATTTGAGGGGATCTTCCAAGGTTGAGAAGGCATTCAGCATGCAGAGAAGGCATGGGGCAGAAACGGTCCACGCAAATGGCCCAGCATGTGCACAGGGAGAGGGAGAGGAAGACACCAAGTACTCAGTACAAATACTGAGCCTCTTCTAGGCCTCCAGGAGCCAGGCAGGGTTGGGGAGGTCCCTGGGGCTGTGACTCCTCCTACACCCCCCCCCCACCGCCGCCCCATGGCCTATTCTGCCTTGGGCCTCTGCCCAGCCAGGCTGCAGCCACTGATTGTCCCAAAGATGCCTGAAGAGCTGGGGGAGCTAGGCTGTGGTACACTGTGTGTGTGCGCACGCACGCGCGCGATTTCACGGCCCACTCTCAGAGCAGCCCCCTTCCTGCTCACACCCCTGTCTCATGGGCACCACCTGCCCCTCGCCCTCCCATGTCCATCTCCCCACGGGCTGCTGGTCGGGAGGATCCGCATGTTCGCATGGGAGGACTACAGACGGGGTCTAGCGTGATCCGTGACTTCAGGGAGGCACACCAGGAAGCCACAGCTTTTGGCCCGGTGATTATCAGTACTCGGGATATGACCTTGGATCTTACCAGAAGCCCGTCTGTGTAGGGAGCACACATATTCCTGAGGACACAGGAGGGAGGCAGGCAGTGGGAGGGACATCAAGATCGGCTGATAAGGGGAAGAACAGGTGTGGTAATGACACCATGAGGCCCCAGCCCCATGTCCTACACCACCCGCTCCCAGAAGGATTTAGTCCCTTGAACATGGGCTGTTCCAGACAGGATACGTGGACAAGAGTGTGTAACATCTGTGCATGACATCTGAGAACTCCAGCTCAGGCTGTTGGAGTCAGCTGGTGTCTACACTGCTGTAGGCACCGGACATAAGCCTGGTCAATTTTCCTTTCCCCGTCTTGGCTCGGTGGGTGGTGTGGCCCCTCCCTGAACATTCTTTTTTTAAGACAGTGTTATAGCATTATAAGTCAAAGCCAAGGTCTGGGGCACAGGGAGGGGAGGGTTGGGGTTTGTACCCTACTACAAAACTCTAAGGCTAGGATATGCCTTCATCCTGAGATTCCAAACACCCAAAGTACAGGGAAGAGCTGGTTGGCAACATGACTCAAGATAGATTTTTCCCAAAATTCCTAGAACAAGTAAACTTGAGCTTCCTTTGTCACTTAAAAAAAAATTCCCCTTTTTTGGTAGGAAAGAAAAGAATGAAAAGGCACATAGGGATCTAAAAGAAACACAAAGAATCGAGTCAGAAGAGATATTATAAATGTTAGGTTGATTTAGAAGAGTTGCTCCGGGCAGTTAACAGTTTGTTTACCATGAGGAGCGTCTAACTCTGAACCTATTGCATGTGGCAGTTAGAAGTCGTTGTGGCGGGCGCCTGGGTGACTCAGTTGGTTAAGCGAATGCCTTCAGCTCAGGTCATGATCCTGGAGTCCCGGGATCTAGTCCCACATCGGGCTCCCTGCTCAGCAGGGAGTCTGCTTCTCCCTCTGACCCGCTTCCCTCTCGTGCTCTCTCTCATTCTCTCTCTCTCAAATAAATGAATAAATAAATCTTTAAAAAAAAATAAAAGAAGTCGTCATGGCAAGAGAAAGCCACGGCCGGCCTGCTGCAGCCAACATGAACATAAAAACAGCCAGACACCATAGGGAAGGGGTAGGGATGAAGGTGGGGTTTGCTTTTTATTTTATTTTATTTTTTTTAAGATTTTATTTATCCATTCATGGAAGAGAGAGAGAGAGAGAGAGGCAGAGAGAGAAGCAGGCTCCCAAGGAGCAGGGAGCCCGACGGGGTTTGCTTTTTATTATAAAAGAAAAAGTAACTCCTCTGAAATCTTAACAGAGGAAAGGCTAATCTCACACCCAGAGACTAGACACCAGGACAAAATGACAAATGTTCTGACTCCAGGGCTGTCCCCATCTCCTCACAGAGCAGATATGGGAAGGGGACAGTTGAAGCAAACAAGTAATTCTGTAAAGACAAAGGCTCAGAAACCCTATAGATAGGAATAAAATCTAAACTTCTCTTTTGCTTTTTAAAAAATGTTAATATATCAAAAGGCCTGCCTGCATTAGTGACATGCTAGAAAATAATCCCAAGAGCCCCTTATCAGTACCACGCTCAAGTTGACCCACCAACTCTTCTTTCTAAAACTCGGTGTGTACCTGTGTGTCTTTTAAACCAAAGCCATAGGACGCCTGGGTGGCTCAGTTGGTTAAGCGTCTGTCTTCAGCTCAGGTCATGATCCCAGGGTCCTGGGATCAAGCCCTGCATCGGGCGCCCTGCTCATTGGGGAGCCTGCTTCTCCCTCTGCCTGCTCTGCCTGCCTCTTCCCCTGTTTGTGTGCGTGGTCTCTCTCTCTGACAAATAAATAAATAAATAAAATCTTTAAAAAAAAAAAAAAGAGCTTTTTCTTCTAAGGTAGGTCAGTCCATCCTTATGCTGAGCTTGTCTTCAGGTGAGGGCCATTTCACCCCAGGTAAGGGAAGGACTGCACCAGGAGGAAGAGGGAGGGGGGCATTTTCCTGCCTGGTTCTCTCCTACATCTCACTTTCTTTCTTTTTTTTTAAAGATTTTATTACTTATTTGACAGGGAGAGAGAGCACAAGTAGACAGAGGGAGAGGGAGAAGCAGTCTCCCTACTGAGCAGAAAGCCCGATGTGGGGCTCCTAAGTCTCACTTTTAATGGAAAGTTGGTCATAACCTTACATGAAGGGGAACTTCCCACCAAGAGGGGAAATCCTAACCTGACCCCAGAGTAAGTAACCCCACCCCGACACTCAGCTTCCTTGAAGAAAGAGCCCTCCTCCTTCCTTCACAAACTCTGCCAGTCCTCTCTGCCTTGGCCACCTTCACCGGGGGAAGAAACCTGACTCTCCGCCCACCTGCACCTGTACCCCTGACCCTGAATGTGCCTGCAGAGTCACATGACCTCCCTGGTCTTGCCCTAAATTTATGATCCCAAACCTCAAGCCAGCCCTCAGCACTGCCCAGCAATCCCGCTCTTTCCCTGGTCCCGGCCTGCTCACTCTTCCTCGCTCCTGGAGGGCAAGTTCACCGTCACTCTGCCGCTCAGGCTTCCTGGAACACTGCTCCCCCAGCCATCCTCGGGGCTCCTCCCTCAGGCCCTCCACATCTTTGCTCCAGTGTTGCTTCTCCCTGAGACCTTCCCTGCTGCTCCACCTAAGCTGCGTTCCTTCACCTCCCTCAGGCTTCCTCCCCCCTCTCTCCTTCCAGGTTTCTTCATCACATCTGTCCCCATCTGACTTACCCCTTATTTCTTGTCCTCCCTCCTCGGATGGAAGTCTTACTGGGGTAGGGGTCTTTGTTTCATTCACCGCTGGATCCCCGGAGCCCAGGACAGAGCCTGGCACACGGAAGCACTCAGCAAATGCCTGTCAGATGGATGAGAACTGACTTGAACCAGCATAGCTCCCCAACACCGGGCATTCATGCTCCAGCTATCTGGGATTTAAGGAGTGTCTGGGGCAACCTCAAGGGATACGAAAGGTGGGCTCAGAACCCCCGGGAAACAGACCCCACCTGAATGAGCCCCAGCGGGACTGCTGAGCCAGCCA